GGCTGCCTTGAGAGCGGGCTCGGGAGACCTCCCGGGGAGGGGGCATGTCTTCCTGCTCCCTGGGCCTTGGGGGAGAGGCGATCTCTTATGAAACCGCGGGGGGAAAAAGTTCTTGGCCAGCTTTCCGGAGCCAGCCCCCTTCCCCAGGCGCGGGGCGTCTCTGCTGGGCTGAGTCCCCAGGGAAGGAGGGAAGCTCCAAGTGCGGGGGACAATGTACATGAGTGGGAATTAGGGCCACAAGGTAGAGCAGGGAAGGGAGGGGAAAAAGCCACACAGATTTCAGGCTCCCTCCTGCCCTGGCATCCCAGGACCCTCCTCCCGGCTTTGGGGGTTGTTGGTTGTGGCTGCGCTGATCTGACTCGCTGTTTGCCAACTGTTTCCAGCCCAGGATGCGCTTACGTTAATAAAAGTTTTCCGCAGCACTCCCGTAAAGGCATTCCCGGGCCTCGGAGCTAGCGTGGCTCGCTTGTGCGGTGCGCCTGTTCGTTTCTGACAGCACGCTTTTGTGTCGCCACACGCTGGTTGGGAAACGCCAGTCTAAGGACATAGGCAGTCGAGCTTTGTTGGGGAGATGTGATATCTTTAATTAGACCAGCTTAGTTGGAAAAAAGTCAGGACATTTTCTCGTGGTGGTCTCAGGGGTGAATTTCCCATTCTCCTTTTGATTTTTGCAAGTCCCCGTTCATGCTGATCTGTCTCCCTGCTGTGCCATGATGATGCTTCAGAGCTGCTGTTAGAAGCTTTTAAAGTCATGGTAAAGTCGGGCGGAGGTCACATCTAGTCCAGCGCCCTGCCCGAGGCCGGATTGGCCTTGTTCAAACCATCCTGTAACATCTGTATGTAAACTCTGTGTAAGACTGGTGTCAGCCCTGGCACAACACAGACCTGACACCCTAACCTGGCACAGGGAAAGCAGGGGAACCACGGCAGCCAGTGTCCTGCTTCTGTAACATGTCAATATATGCTCAAAAGATCCCTGGTAGGGGGCTGTGCCTGCCTTTGCTTACAAAGGAGGGGAGCTAGTTTGCAACTATCAAACCCGAGATAGGTCAGGTAGCTGAAGACCAGTGCTTAACAGCTGGATCTGTGCTGTGGCACTCGTAGCCCTGACACTGTTGGGGTCCCATCACTTTCAAGACATGGAGTAGGAGTTCCTAACCCGCCCCCCCCCCCAAAGTACACAGATAAAGTTACAGTTCATGTGCAGTCAACTGCAATTCATCAGAGTACAATTTAAGTTTCAAAGTAGACAACAGGCCTGAAAGATGCTGGTTGCTTAAGCAATCTGTGCTTTTTACCAGCATGATGTAGGTAAGTGAATCTGATATGCATAGAAGTAAAATGCACCGTGTGTAGCGAAAGTCAGCAAAAAGATCCTTTCATCAGAGGTTTAGATCAGCAAGTGAAATGTCAAAGATGCGGAAGTATCTGTGTCCAGGAAAACTTACAACCTTGGACCTTGTGCATGTGTTGGTTGTTTTTTTGCCATGTTGGTTTTCTCCTCTTTTCCTCCCTTCTCTCCCTGCCTGGCCTGGTGCTTATGCCCCTTGCCGAATCCTGTGGGCCAGCGTGGCTCCGCATGGGGGGCAGAGCCCTGTTCACATAGATCTCGTCGCTTTAAAACTAAATATTGTATCAAAGAGTCACTTGGTAGGTGTGATTTGGAAAATCATACAATTCCCTTTTAAACTTAACCACGGTGGTTGCAGTGATAATCCTCTGTACAGGATTCAGTTTTCCTCGTTTATATCCAGTTCTTGGCTTGTTTGGCAAAGATCTAGAAACCTGTCAGTAAACTTTTCTGAAGCTCCTATGCAGTGACTTAGGCCCCGTTTAAAATTTTAACGTCACATCACTTCCTGAGGGTAGGGTTTACTGGAGAAGAGAATGCTAAAGGATGTGTAACATCACGAGTGTTTGATCGTATCCTAATCATCACTATGAGAGCAAGCAAGGTGTTTTATAAGTATATGATCTCTGTTTAAAAGTGATGTGTGAGACAGTTTGGGATTCTCTGGCCTCAGAAGGAATATTTACTTTTGGGTGACATGTCAGGTGCCTGATGGGGAAGACCTTTCTTTTTTTTTTTTTTAAAAAAAGGCACTTGTGTTGACTTCAGCAAAAGACATCTTGGAAGGGGGATGCTGGATGCTGGACAACAACTAAGATAAATCAGCAAGGGGAGAGGGCACAGGGAGGTGATGAGAGAGGTTCAAAGAGAAGCTGCTGTGGGTTAGCCCTCCTGGAGGGATGGACACCGGAGCAGCTCCTCTGTGGGTGTTAACGGCCGTGGTTTTATTGAAGTCAGTAGAGCTACGTGATTTTGCAGTAGTGGGGGGTTTAGCTCTGTGAGGTCACAATTTGTAAAGGCCAATGTGAAGGATGAAAGGAAGGACAAAAAGGAAAAAAGGTTGCAAGGGGGGATGGGGAATTTCAAATCCAGGCGCAGAGGAGGGCTGGAAAAATAACAGAATGAAATACAGGATGTGGCAGAAAGGGAGAAAACACACAGAAGGATGGAGAAGGGGCAGAGGAAGGCATTAGGGGGATAAGGTGTTTGAAATGGTTTTCAGGTATGTATGATGGACTGCAGCATGCCTGTGAAGTGATAAAGAGGGATGGCGAGGGTTAGAAGAAAACCAAATTAATGTTCCTCAGGTATGTCTAAAGAAACATGGATCACGCCTGGGCCAACAACAGAGCGATGAGGCTTCCTGAAGCCTGACAAAAGCACAGGGCAGGCCAAAGGGGGATCCAGCTGTGGATCCCCACAAAGGATTTGAGGCCTGGAGGGACAGCTTCGCTCTGATTGTGAGCCTGCACAGCGACACCGCAGACAGCGATATGTTAGAGAACGTTCAGTTTAGCTACCAGAAAAGCTAGCTTGGTTGCTACAGTGATGGGCATCAAAATAGGACTTTTGATGATGATTATTATTCTACTCCTAGCATCCAGAAGTCTCGGTCGTTGTACGAGATGCTGTACAGACATGTGGTGGGAGACATTTGCTGATCCAAAGAATACCAATGGATCCGGTTACAAAACCAAACCCTGCTACTTTATACGTAGAAACGAGGGCTCCAAAAGGAATAGAGGCTGCTCCCCAGGGAAAAGGGCCTTGCACTATGGCGAAGAAGGATATCTTACTGCTTAGTTAGTCCTTGCGGTTTAACCCTGCCTTTACCCCCATTTGTTTGGTAACACAGAAGCAGAATAAGGCTCTGAAAAGAACGCCCCAATGGACGGACAATGGTACGCCCACAAAGAGGAAACGCACGCTGCCTGCATCCTCTCCGCTCAAGAATTGCGCTAAGGCGGTTGATGTGAGTGGGAATGGAAATTTGGCATCAGCATTTGTTCCAAAGAAGCACCCGACTGACAGGCAGGATGAGAGCACGAGACCTTTTATTAAGACATCCAGCTTGTTTAAAAACAACCCCAAGATTCCAGAAATCCCCAGGTATTCTGAACAAACCGCAATGACGTGCTATCGCTTTTGCATGTATAAAGCAGGTTTCCTTTCTTTTTTATTTAGGAAGGAATTAGTTAGTTAGTTAATTTCTTTTTCTTTTATTTGTCCATTGAACTACATTGGTTCTCAGCCTTTTTTCCTACTGAGCTCTCTGTCCCTTGTAGGCCAGACTTATCCAGCACCCCTCTCCTTTTTTAGCATTCTAGGTAAGTTTAAAAAACTAGCAGGAACTGGAGAGATGAGACGGTCGCAACACCAAGACAGAAAGAGCCGATGACTGAAAAAGACCTGATTCTATTTCCACAGAAGTCTTTTAGGGTTTTGCTTTCAACTTGTGTAGCTATTAGTGGTTTGGGGCCTAGGGTTTGTTGGTATTTTCCAAAGACATGGCAGGAAGGACCCTCGGACTCTTAAAACAGATGCTGGACATCTCTTTTGAATCGCCCATCTGGTGAAAGAGGGGCCCAGAAGCTGGAGTATTGTCACAGTAAGAATTTGCTGACTAGCTCGTTTTCCTTTTGTGCTGCCCTGTTGGGTCATACAAGTAGGTTTTAATGGGAGTCATCGTTAAGGAAAGCCAATATTAAAAGTAAAAGGCTGTGTTTATTTGTATTGTCCCAGAGAGTTTCATGTTGCCTTAGGGATCCACCAATTAAAAGCAACTTCAGTGTCGGAGAGGGGCCTTTTCTTGTGGTTGGGCTGATCATATTCCTTCCTTGAGTGGGGCTGGCCTTTTGGGTCCCATACAGAAAGGAAGCTGTGATTGGTTTTTGTACTGCTACAGCCTCTAGTCCTGGGCTGGTTTTCTCTGACTGGAAAAGTCAGGCCAGACTGCAGTGAATCTGGACTGCAGAGTGAAGGTGATGGGACTCGCTGCTCTTACCCTGTTTTATACTGGTTTATATGTTGTTTTTAACCTGCTTTACAGAGGTACAGTGCAGCTGGTGCAAGAAAAGGTTTTCACTTCAGATTCTTTCACCCAGCTGGATCTTCATCCCCATCTGGTGAGTCTGGGCTGGCAATGGGGTTCTTGGTGTGTGGCTGCTTTTATTTGTTGGTTCAGAGTGGATGTTGCTTTGGGAGAACGCGTATTTGGTGCTGAGATGCAGAGGAGGACTCTCCATAAACACCAAGATGTGGTTCTTGTTGCCCTTGTTCTTGGTGACTCAAGGGAGCTCTCTTGCAGTCTGGATGAGCTTTGCAGCTTCTGAGAGTGGCCGTTGCATTAATACTGTGTCAGCGCCCCTCACTGTGCTTCATCCAGCACCAGCAAATCACATCAGCCCGACCTGCAGGTGCCCCTTTCAGCACCAGCAGTCCATGCCTCACCAGCCCCTAATCCTGCATTGTCAGCTAACACCAATCCCTGCTGCATCCCATCCTGTATCGCAGAGCACCCAAAGCCCTCCCATTTGTCCTCCCAGCATTGTTTCATGCTGCAGTACCAAAAATGTTGAGTACCACTGGGAAGACTAAATGTTATAGTCCAGCGTTCCTTGACCCGTGAGGGCTAGTGCTATTTTGATGGATTAATACAAATAGGTCAGGGGTCAGTGATCTTTTCCAAGTGCTTGTCCTGTACTAGTGACCAGTAAGAGAGAACACAGGTCTTCTGCAATCCAAAGATTACCAAAGAGAAATGTGTGAGTAACACCTTCTCACCCTCTCATTGACTCCTTAGGTATCCACAATAACCACTGTTTTGAAGATGTCTAGTATGACTAGGTAAGTTAGTTAATGTGTCAAATATTTTGGACTTCAATAGTTCAGTCTAGCTGGGGATCTCCAAGCACTTTGCAAGTCTGATTTCTTAGTAAACACCCACAACACCTCCATAAGGACCGTGAAGGCTCAGCACTGTTAAAAACCTGGCTGAAAAGTCACTTGCAGGGTACACAAGTCATTGTTGTGCTGGAAATGAAACCCAGGAGTTTGTGCTTTTAATCTTGGGCTTTAGCCACAAAACCCTCCCTATTCGAATTCAGCATAGTTATTTTATTTTAACTTTATTTTCAAAAGTTGTCTTTTGTGATGCAGTGTTTTGTAGTGATTGGAGAGACCTAGGTTGATGTAGACCCAGGTGCATAAACTTCAAAGCAGTTGAAAAGTGTTACAGTGCCACAGTTGTGTATATATGCTGAGGCTGTGCTGCGGTTTGTGTTTTCTAAACTTACTTTGTTTGTTGTGTAGTGTCCAGAAGCAAACTATTCCTGTGCTGCTCCAAGGCAAGGATGCCCTGGTGAGATCCCAGACAGGTTCAGGTCAGCATTTAATTGCCAGTATTTTGTACTAAGGGCATGTGTAGATGAAACAGGGGCCCTAAATTGAAGCAGTGGGTTTTTGAAAACACTGCTTCCATTTAGGGCCATTTAAACTCCTTGCACTCCTGTCTTGCACACACCCCTCTGACTTAACCTGCCTCTCTGGCAGTGGGGAGGCGAAGGCAAGCTGCTGGCAGGTGGAGCAGTCCCTGGGCTGTGGTGGGGGGCTGGTGCTTCCCTCCACAGCAGCAGTGGCTCCCCCCAGGTGGTACCCAGCTTGGGTGGTCCCGTGGGGCACCGCAACCATGGAGGGAAGCACCGGGCTCCCGCGCAGCTCAGGCAGGGAGGGTCCGGGAGATGTGTGTGTGTGTGTTGTGCTGGGGAGTGGAATCAGGCTCTTCGCTTTTCTTGGGCAGAGCCTGTCTTCCCGGGCTGCTTCCAGGCTGCCTGCAGGGCTTCCTGCAGAGCTGTGGAGCTACACAGAGCCCGGTGTTTCACTCTGCTGCTGTAGGGGCAGCAAACTAAAACTCCTCCTCGGAGTTTTAGTTTGCTGCGCCCCAAGTCATTTAAGGTGCGTTGTGACACCGAATTTCCTACAGCGGCTGGAATTAATGTGCAGTACACCACTGAGGCATGCTCACCATTAAAGCGGTGCAAAAGCATTTAGCCTGCTTTAAAGTGCTGTGCACACATGCCCCTTATTTTGTCTACACATAGCCTAAGGGACCACATTTAGTGGATTGCTTGATTTGACCCAAAGCATTGCCTTCACCTGTTGCAGTTGGTCAAATTGACAGACTAACAGCACTAGCTATAGGCAGGCATATTGTAGACAGGTGCTGGGCCAACTTCTTCCATGCAGCTCTGCCAACGTGGCTCAACTCTGACATGCAGCTGCCAGCTATTGCAAAATCCAAGGAGACCTGTGCTGTATAAGGACCATCTTGACTGGATGCTGGACTCAAGAAACCCAGTGCATCCAGCAGCAGCCCAGGTCCAGATCCAGCATCTGAATTATCTACTCAGTCTCTTCAGAGCAGTATCTAATGTTGTCAATTCCCATGGGTGGAACATTTTATGGACAGAGCTTGGAAGAGTTCCACTGTCTCCCTTCCACCATCTGACCCCATCACCCATCAGACTCGCCATTAGAAATTTTCACTTTGAGTCCCCAGAACCTCCAGCCCCTGACATCACTTTGAGAGTGGTGGAATGCATATTTCCGTCTGGTACACTTAGATTTCCTGAAGCTTTTGAATTTTACAATTTCTGTTTGTTTGATTTTTAAATGACCAACTTCTTGCATCGTCTTCCTTCCAAAGGTAAAACTCTGGCCTATGGTGTCCCACTGGTTCAGTCCTTGCAGGGGATGAAGTCAAAAATACAGGTACTTACCGCAGAAGAAAGCATGTGTTGAAACTGAAACTGGCCAGGCCAAAGCACTGGAGAATATCCTGAATGGCACATTCCTGCACCAGACCCCCTCCGGGTGGATTTGGGACACTAATGGGTCCTTTCCACTTCTGACTTCTCTGACTTCGCTGTGCATTCACCTTAGTGATGTTCTGTCTCCTCTGTTTGCAGCGCAGTGATGGGCCTTATGCACTTATATTGGTTCCAACAAGAGAGGTAAGTGGCCTTGTCTTTTAAGGGTCGTGCAGGCATGTTTGAGTTTGATTTCTGCTACTTTCCAAGGGCCCTGAATGTTTTGCACTGAGTCCAAGAAGAGCCAGGTTGGGCCCTTGAGGAATTATGGGCCAGATTATAATTGGCAAGTGTCTGCCGTTCCACTGAGTCGGCGGTATTTTTGACAATTGCCAGTGGTGAATTTTAGCTAAGTGCCTCCATACCCATCTCCAGAAACATCCCATTTTTTCAGGGAACTTGTTCTCTTGTCTGTGGGGGGCTTCACCCTAAAATTCTGAGGACTGTCGGTCTCACATTGATGCTGTATCCTGAGAATCATGTTTGAAAGTCTTCCTTTCACCTTTAATTTAACCAAAAAGAATTTAAGAGTCAGGGGAACATTTCAGTTGTCTTCCCTTTGGGCATGTGCAGTACAAGAGTCTGATACCTGGTTTCTTTCTCTTTTCTCAACCCTTTACTCAGATCTGCTCCCAGGTATTTCTTTTGCTATCAGTGTTGTACAGTAATGAGCCAGAGAAAAATATCTAAGTTTCCCCATGTGTTTCAGAATTACTTGGAGATATTAGAGGAGCTCCTTGATGGAAGGCATGGGAAAGGACCAGTGGGTCTAGCCTGGGAAAGGCGCATTTGCAAGTAAAACTGGCAATAGCCTTGAAGACACTTACTTTGCAAACTTATGAGTTTATGCAAATACTTCATTTTAAAAGCCTCCTTTTAAAATCCATCAGCAAATGCTGAGGATGAATCTACCAGAGTTAGTTTCTTCATTAAACTCTCCTCTATTTGATTTATTTTATTTGCCTTCCAGAGACAATTTCAGAGTAGGGCATCAACCTTTTTTTCCATAACTTTCGGATGGAAAATTGATTGCAGGTATCTAGTTCTTGGCATGATATTTTATGCAACCTGCAGTACAATATCTCAGCTCAATACTGAGGAAGGAAAAGGCTCTGAAGGTATTTAAATTTTTACAGCAGCAAACTTGCTGGTTCACTAGGATGCTACATGAATACTAAGCATATGAGAATAGTCCTTAAGCTTGTTCTGAAGGCATACCATTGAGTACATTTACAAGGCTGGTTCGTCATCACTATTGGCATTCTTCTTCTGATGGTTTGCAACAGTTTCTTTAGTAACCTGGCAAATAAATAATATTTAGTAGCTTGCTAGTCTTTCCTGACTTCAAAGAACTGTATTTCCTCTAAATAAACTTTTCTCATGTATGTGGGTTCCGTGAACTAAGATGGATTTGTAGCAACTATTAGCAGCTGGGCAAACAGAATCATAGAAAGTTCAAGTGACCCAAAATCAGCCTATAAGTAAATGGTTGCAATGAGAGAGAGAGACCCATAAGTTCTGGGCACTGGTTGCTTCATGAACTCCTGTTTTATATTTCCTTTCCCTCACAATTTTCTTTTGGAAATGGTTCCATTTTCCTCTATGCCCTTTCGGTGGAGCAAACCCAGTGTGACTTTGGAGAACTGGCTTATCAGTGCATCACCAAGAACAAAAATGTCAGCAGAAGTGGGCACTGCTGTGAAAGGATTGTTCATAAGCCCGAGCCAACAGAGGGAGCACAAACCACTTTTTTTTGGGGTGGATATGGGTCAAAATATAATAGAAGGGTCTTCCTTTGGCTTGAATATTCAATGGGTCAGGTTAGATATGGGGTTAGGGTTTGTTTGGGTTTTTATATGATAGAGATACTTTGAAATCTAGTAACTTAAGTTACTGGATTATAACACTGTGAAGAGAGCACATTTTGACCCCCAGATTGCTGGATGGTGCCTTTTAGTACAGACCTATCAGGCTTTCATGACACTTACTCTCCTCTGTTGATATCCACAGCTAGTATTACAGAGTTTTGATACAGTCCAGAAATTGCTTAAGGTAAGTACTGCATCCTGTATTTCCTTCCTGCTTATTTCTGCGTCTTTTGTTCTAAGACATGAAACACCTTCAGTTCCCCTTTCAAGTCAGGTGGGAGTTGAAGGAACACAGCATCTGGCAGGCTATCTGGTCCTTCAAGAATAAATCCAGTTCACTTTTATTTTAGTGTCCAAGAGAAAGCACAGTACGTTTGAGTTTGATTTCCCCGTTGGATGCTTCCAGCTATTTGATGAGCATGTAGATGCTTAAACAACTCTCTAAGATATTATAATTCTCACAGAAGGCCAGAGGATATCCAAAAAGACTTTTGTACTGGTTTGTTTTTGGAGATTCCTGCCTCGGTTTCAGTAGCCTCTGTAGCTGCGACTGGACACACTCGTAGCGGCAGGTACCTTTTTACTGAAACTGATACTAGGCCGGGAAGGTTCTGAGGCAGACTGGGAGTTAAGGGATCAATTTGCCACTTGAACTTTCATCTCCTTTTTTAATTTGTTAAAACTAATTGGCTCAGTGTTGTTAAGAGTAATAGAACCTCCCTCACAACAACTTCCTGCCCTGATCCTGTAAGCGCCTCAACTTGTGATTAACTTGACTACTGTGAGACGTTTGATTGATATGTAAGTTAGTATTTAAGTAACATGTATAAGCAAGCATTTGCAAGACTGGGACTTCAGTCTGTTCTTTCCCATGCTTCCTAATACCCAGATGGTTCCCCAAGTCCTCTTCTATCACAAAACTGCAAAGAAAATGACTTTTCATTATATGAAGATGCTTAAAAGTTTAGTAGGTTGAGGGGATATTGATCAGCTCATTTCCCCCAGGGAAGGGTAGTGTGCTACCCAAAAGCTGGCCTATGTCTATCCCAACTATGCAGTTGGTTCAATAGAAGGTATCAACCACAAGGATGCTTGCCTCCCTCTTAAAATAATTTAGCCATTTTTAAATTTGTGATGAGATGTCATGGATAGAAGATCTTTCGATCCGAATGTTGAGACCTGACTTCAGCACTGGCCAGTTTTGTTCCATCAAGATCTCTGGAACGCCCAGTTAATGGTAACCTCCAAGGGAGAAAGAAATTGGGGGGTTTCACCCTTTCCATGTTACACAGAAAGAATTAAAAACAACGTCGGGCTAAACCACGTTATAGTAAAAGAAATGAAGCACTGCTTTGGTGCTGAACGGTGGCCCGACCTGGTAACATTTTCAAATTATAGCTAAATCTTTTGGTAATCCAGTGTTTTTGGAGAAGGGGCGTAGGTTATGCTTCCATACCTATAAAAGGTGCTTCTGTACATGGCTGGAAGTTCTTCTTGAGATGGGCACTTTAAAGCTTCTGGGATTTCGGGGGGGTATTCCAGAGATGTTGGGTGTCTTGAGGTTTGGCTCAACAGCCTTTCATTATCATTCCAAAAAAATTATGGATGTTGGACTAGGTGTTTGAATGGCCTGCTTCTTTAGGGCAGCTCTTATGGCTGCTTGACATGCTGAGAGTTGTGCAAATGTCCAGCCTTTCCTTAAGCACTAGATGCGTATGTGCCATCTGTAAAAGTTGCATTGTCTCTTTTTCTTCCTCCATCTTGAAGGAGATGCATGTTTTGTTTTCATCTGTAAAAAATGCACTGTGCTAGATTTGGATGGAGACTATAATAATCTGGTTGAAGTGTTGGAAAAATTCCTGGCAGGGGAATGAGATTTCATCCTAAGAGCCTTTGCTAGTCTCTCGCTCTCTCACACGCACACATACACACATTTATATAAAGGTCTTTTGTTAAACTGTATTTTGTTTCTTGTTTTGCTTGGCCGTAGGAAGATTTTTTCTTAAAAGCCAAGAGAAGGACGTAGCATTATGCTGTGCCTTTGAACATTTAGGCTATGCGGGGAAGAGGGAAAGAATATTATTATGTTATTAGAAGTGATGCAAAAATGATTGCATTTCCATCTTCCCAAACACTGGAAGCAAGTCTCATACGCAGAATTAAAGCTACTGCTGATATTTAACTGCAGGTGGGACAGTGCGTGTGGGTTGTCTGTTGGATCAAATCAGATGCATGCAGCTATAAACCCGAGTCCTCTATCTTTTTGTCAAGAAAAATCAGGTTTTGATTAGTATCTGTCCTCTTATTAAGAAGAATTCATGTCGGTCTGGCTTTTTCCTCACTGTAGCCATTTACCTGGATTGTGCCTGGAGTGCTAATGGGGGGAGAAAAGAGGAAATCGGAAAAAGCCAGGTAGGAAGCCAACTTCTTAAAATTGTATTTTGGGTTTCTTTTGTGTCCTCGAGCCCTTTCATCTGTCACTCTTGTTTAGAGTGACTTTTTACTGGGAGAGAAGCCTGTGACTTGGATCAAGCTGTGAGCTCCCCAGATCTTACACAGAACCAGTGCCTGGGTCAGCAGGGAGCATTCAAAGCTCTCCGTTGGCTCTATTTTTAAAATGTTGATAAGCCTTCTGAGGAGATGATCCCTGTTGATGTCAATATTTTTTCCTTCTCTGGCAAACACCTATATTTGCTTAGTGTACAGTGTTGGCTGCAATGAGAATGTGTTTGTTTAGGGGAAAACAACTGATTTTTATTTTTCTGGAGTTAAAATCGTCTTCGTTAAATGTAAGAAAATAATCCTGAATTATTTTCAAGGTTGTATGTGAACATTGCAGTGGTGTAGGAGATTGCACAATTTCCACATTTTCCATTTTTTTGTGTTAAATTGGGGTGAAAACAAAGAATTTTACTATTATATGCAAAATAATTCCTCCCCCCCCACACACCCCATTTAGTTTTGGGTCAGTTAAAATACTTGGTTTCAATTTCAGCCTTTTTTATTTTATAATATAAAATACATTTATAAATTAGCTTGTCAAAAGAAAACATCAACATCTTAGATCTTGAAAATATGGAAATGGATTTCTGTGCTACCAAAACCTTTCGTTTCAGTTGTTTTTCTAATCTAAACGTTGTCAAAATTGTGCCTGGTGGATATCAACTCTCAAGTCCGGATATCTGCTGTTACTGAACTAGGAACAAGCTGTCAATTATTTTATTTAATTTAAACAGATTACGTAAAGGAATAAATATTCTCATTTCAACTCCTGGCCGCCTGGTTGATCACATTAAGTCAACAAAGTGCATTCACTTCCATCGTACCCAATGGCTGGTTCTCGATGAGGCAGACAGGTACATTTCTACGTGCTAATAGAGCTAACACCTGCGTGCTTTAGGGTTTAAGGCAACCTCCAAGTGTCTTGGCTTGGGAAGAAGTGTCCGTTATGGCCATATTATTCTAGTTACCCACTACAGGAATTCTTGCACCTTTCTCTGAAATATCTGGTGCTGGCCATCATTGGAGATAGGCCCCTGGCATGCTTTGCCTTGGGACTTTCAGTGTTCTGAATTGACTCCCGAAGTTTTAGGCCTTTTGTTATTCTTCCTTCCATAGCTTTTTTCATGGTCTTTCCCTTGTTTGCAGGATCCTGGACATGGGCTTTGAGAAGGATGTGACTGTCATACTTAATGCCTTAAATGCAGAGAGTGAGAGGCGGCAGACTGTCTTGCTCTCTGCCACGCTCGCACAAGGTAGGCCATAGAGCCTTATTTAAGCAACGTAAAGCACGGGTGATTGTGAAACAATTGTAAGGTCTCAAAAAGAGTCGTTGCCAGAGAATAGGAGCTTCTAGCTCTTGTCCTGGGCTTGGCGTACTGGATTATGTGCCTTTTCTGGCTGATACATTTCTCATGCCACAGATACTCAATTTTGTCTCATGGTTTTGCCAATTTATAGAAGGTTTTTCACTCTGGTTTCTCGCTGTACTTTTCTGTCCCTTTCAAACTGCATCAGTTGTCTTTAAAGTCTGCATATCATTACCCACTTCATTATTGTCCCAGGAGGTGATAGGGAACAATTACAGTATGTTTTGCTTTACAAAGAAGCTCCGGCTGTGGGTATAATGGTTTTTCTGTGACTTTAGGTGTAACGAGGTTGGCTGATATCAGTCTGAACGATCCAGTCAGCATTTCTGTTGTGGATGAAACCTGGGACAGAACTGAACCTGAGCTGGAACCAGTTCAAGGAGCAGTTTGTTCCCCAGTTAACATGGGGACCAGCAGCTTTGCTGTACCAGAGAAGCTCAAGCAGCATGTGGTGGTTGTTCCCAGCAAGCTGAGGCTTGTCACCTTATCAGCTTTTATCCTCGGGAAGTGCAAGGTAAGGCTTCACTTGTGTTGTGTCTTTGCCTCAAGGGATTACGGGCCTTTCCAGCTCCTCCATATCTGTTTGGTCTTGGAACAGAAAATGAGTGTTCCTTGAAACGCAACAGCTTGAAAGCTGTGTGGGTTAACTCAGTATTGTCAATGGGCCAAACCACATTAAATCCACATCTGGGGCTCAGTCAAGGAATTCTGGAGCTGGTGGCAAACTCAACAGGTAGGGTGTAAATGTACCCATCGAGTCCATTTGGAAACGTGCACGCTGTCCTGCTAACAGTAGTCAGGCTTGGACTCATTCTGACTTCCTCTGCTCAGGAGTCCTGCAGCAAGGGGCCATCCCCTGTGAAATCTCTGCCATCGACGTCCAAGACTTTTGGCACAGGCACTGGTGGCTGCAGTGCCCCAGTAGCACACAGCTGTCTCAGAGATAGGCAGGCTTTAATATAGTATGGTCCTAGGCCATCCAAGACCATGTGGATTACATCCAGGACTTATGGTCCAGGAACCAGGGGAGTGTTTGAGGCCTTACTGTGCAGGCACAGCATGCATTCCTGCAGCATGTAAGTTGTCTCCAGGATATTAAAAATGCAGTCCTTGGCACAGATATATAAAAAAGGCCTTGTGCATTTTCGTCTCCTCCCTGCAGTTTGAAAAATGCCACAAGATGATCATCTTTTTCTCGAGCTGTGAGCAAGTGGAATTCCACCATGAACTCTTCCTAAAAGTCCTGTTGGGAGGTGCAGAGTCTGACCAGCCTGGGCATCCACTGCCTCCATTGCCAGGCCTGAGGTTCCTTCGACTACATGGCAACATGGACCAGGAGGTGAGCACGACACGTATCCATTAGGAGGATGGCCGGTTGTAGTGAGAACTGCTGCCATTTGCCCTCACTTGCCTTTTTCCCCTTCCCTAGAAGAAACTGGTTTCAAAGCCTCTGTTGGTTTTGGTTCCACAGACACTTTCCCATAACTTGTCTGAGGTCAGACTGAGACAAAGGAAGGCGTCCTACTGGTATATGGTACTAGAATTGGCATTTGTCACTCACTGTGTCGTTGAGTCTATGCATGTGTGTTTCTAGCCGTGCAGTACGTGTTTTTATGCTCAGGGGTGCTCACCTGCAGGCTTTTTGCTCAGCTTAAGAGGTCCACAGGTGGAGTCTTGCAGAAGATACCTTTTCCCTCTTTCCTGGTTCCATCCATGACAAGCCCTTACAAATGTAGCCCAAGACTGGGAAACAGGAGGCCTAGTTTTTGTACCCGATTTCTGTACCTGATTCTGTCACTGATTTGCTCTGTGACTTTGAGTGAGTCAGTAAGGCCCTAGGGGCCTTTGTTTCTCCAGCTGCCAAGGAGAAGAGAGAGATTTGACTTGCTTGTGTAAAATGTTTGAACTCTGTATCTGAAAGGCACTGCAGAAGGGTCAAACACTGGTGTGTCACCAGGTTTGTGCAGTTGCGCACACTTAACCCATCTCCCTTTTGTGTAGGTGTACGTCCATCTCTCCAGGCTAGGCAGGGAATGGCTTTCAAACCCAAAGAAACTGTCAATCTGATTAAACTGACTGTCCAAGTCCAAGTATTACACTGTATAAGTTGGTGGCCCTGTTACGTAGAAGGTGGAACAGGCTGGCTTCGGCTACAGAGAACAATGCCCTGACAGACTTCCCCCTCCCCGAGGGATGGTATTAGCACTCGAACGGAGATTGCCCAACGAATAGGGCTGGCGTACTGGCGTAAGCATACCAAGCTTGGCTGACTTGCTGATTAGAATGGAATATGATACTGAAGTATTTACAAGGGCAGAAGCGTATCCAAGTGAGCATTCACAGCAGAGGCTGTGAGTAGGAGAGGAAGGCTCCTGAAAGCTCAGTAACCCTTTCCCTGCCCCTAGCCTGTGCAGGGTGGGGAGTGACTGCCCTACTCTGAACAGCACAGTGGCGACAGCAAATGAACAACACTCCTGCAGTAAAGCGAGAGGTGAAGAGCCATTGTTTTTCTCACTCGTTCCCATCCTGCGGAGACCAGGAACATGTGCTTCACTGTCCCTGCATTCTGGCCTCTCCTCACCCTGCCTGCCTGGGAGAGCAGGCAGGCCTGGCCTGGCCCAGCTCTAGCCTGGCCAGCTGTTAAGGCAACAGAACACCACTAAGTAGCTGGCACCAGGGGAAGGGTTTTCCCTTTTTAGTACCCAGTGTGTAATTAGTGCTTGATGTCTTCAAATTAAGAGCATTAATGGAGCTAAATTGTGGATCCCATATGGTACTGCTGAGCACGGCTGCTGTCATTGTCAACAAGATACAGAGCACTCTCTTCTTGAATTTTGTTGGGAGAGGCGTGAACACATCTGAGAAACCCAGGTTTCCATCCTCCTTCTTCAGTGCAGAATGATCTATTCAGCCAGGGATTCCTCTGTGCCATGAGGAGAGATGACAGTTTCACTCAGCTCTTTGCTGTGCTAATTGGGATCAGACTGGGAGCAAGTCTTGGAGCATGAAGGCAAGGAAAGCTTGTGGGGATGGGGGCAGATGGAAACATGCTGGAGCCAGAAACAATAGAGGGGGGGTGGTATTCTTAAGGCACATCTAAATCTTCTCCTAACTGCAGCACTCTAAGGAGAGCTCGACTGTTGTGCTGGCCACGTGCTTAGAGCTGCTCCATGGTATCTGTTCCATTCATTTCTATGCCTGGGTATGAAATGGATGGAGCTTATTTCTCAGTGGTATGCCCAGCCTCCCTTAGGAGGCAGTTTATCCATTCCCCATGAGGCTAGAGAAACCATGAGCTGGTGGAGAAGATCTAGAAAGGCTCAGAAAAGAAGACTGGTCTGTGTGCACTAATCTCCCTCAGTGATTAGAGGGCAGGGAGAGCAGGTGAGAGAGTAAGTGGGTGCATCAGTCTGTCTCTGAATAACTGATAGCACATAGGACTAATATGGTGTTTAACATGAGCTTGAGGGAGTGGTGTGAGTCAGCACGTCCTTGCTTCACAGAAAATCCTCTGCAATTTAGAAATCAGCGTTTGTTCAGGAAAGCCTTGGCACTGGAGAAGCAAGAGGTTGAGCCGGGAAAAATGAAGCTGTCCTGGGTAAGCTTGTGCAAGGTCCTGGAGGGGACGTATCTGCCAGGTACGGGGAGCGCATTGATGGAGCTTTGTGGGAGTCCAGCACTGGAATAGCAAGGGTCATGGCTGTAGGGCCTCCTCATGTGCCTCCTGTGTCCTCCGGGGGAAGCTGATGGATGCTCTTGCTTTGGAAAGGTCCTCACCATTTGAGAGTGAAATCCCTGGCAAGAGTCAGTGCCTCCCTGGCAAGAGCTCTGCGTGGTTTGGCCTCTTGTAGCAGGAACATGGGGGAACTCATTCATAATCACCGTGCTGTAACCAAGCTTGACCGCTAGGGGGAACCTCTTGTGCTCTTCCAGGCAGTTATTGATGAGGCAGTACCTAAATTAGCCTCCCTCTAATCCATTTTAAGAAGCTTGTGCCTTCTCTAACATGTCCTTTCTACACAGATCCAGATGGTCCCTTTAGCGTACTCCTATCAGCTCAGGTTTCACAAGCCCTGCACATGATGGCCATCTTGGTTTGGACCCAGGGATTTGGGCTAGCCCCAGGCTCTGTGCCTCCCATGATGCCAGCCACTCTTGCCCTTGTTTTTCCAAATCCAAGAAGTCCTCCGCAGACTGGGTAGGAACCCATCTGCTTTTCTTCTCAAAGCTGGCCAGGAAATTATGGAACGTGAATAGGCTTTTCTTATAGCCTACAGTGTCTGCTCCATCACTTTACAGCTGACCATACTGTGCCCTGTTTTTCATCCTCTAGGAAAGGACTGCGGTATTCCAGGAGTTCCTGCAGGCCAAGATTGGCATCTTACTTTGCACAGTAGGTACCTTCGAATGTCACAGCAAGGATGATAAGGGTCCCAGTGTGGTAGGCTGTGCTGTCTGTGGTTAGACAGGGTCTTGGAAGACCTTGCTTCAATCCAGTGGTTTTCAACCTGGGGAATCCACAGACTATATCAAAGGGGGTCTAAGGAAAGATGACTATAATCAATCAAAAGTATGTGGATACCCACAGTTACAATTCAGAGGGATCCACACTTCCATTCTACATTTTTTAGGGGATCGCAAATGAAAAAAGGTTGAAAACCACTGCTCTAATCCAATCCTGGCCCCCTGACCTTGGGAAAGTCAGTGATGTGTTCTGTCTCAGCCTCTCTCCCTTGTGCAGCAGACCAACAGCTCCCCCTTTGTAGATTATATTGCAAACCATTGGTGGAAGTCACCCAGTATAAAGAGCAAAATCTTACTAATCTGTTGCATTGGCTGTACGGCTGCCCATCTTGGAAAAAGTGTTTCTTCGTGACTTGCCCTGCATGTGCAGGAGACAGAAAGCAGGCCTGATGATGTACTGTGCCCATAGCTGCCAGGTAAATTGGATACAATGTGGTATTTCCAGTCTTGACGACTACCCCAGGGTTAAAAAAAACAAAAACGTGCTGGGATGCAATGGCAGCATAGCTAGAGGACTGTTTCATTAGGAATGCACTTGTTTTGTTTGCCCTTCAAGCTTCCTGTAAGGATGGGGAGGGAAACACCTTTACTCCACTGGAAGTTCGCTGGCTCCCTCGTGCTGCGGTGGCACCTCTCGCATCTCGCTTCTGACCCATCGGTGCCACAGCCAGCCTGCTGCAATGGTGCAGAAGG